TGAGCCGTTTTAGGAGGGCGTGGCTAACTCTTAACTTTTATAAAGAATATCTCTTTGGATTTGAGACTTTAGTCTTTGCAACTTTACAGATCTTCTTTATGCACCAAGAGCTTGTAACACTCCAAAGAGAAAGGAAAAATTTAAATCACATCATATGACCCCTTTAATAAAATAAAAGGTGACTTAAGTGTACTTAAAGAGGACACTCTTAAAAAAGAGCACACCATATGTAAAATACTTCACAGTACATTTTAAATAATTATGTTTTAAAAATATTTTTCATGCTTTAAAGAAGTACACTTATATTGAAGTATTAACATACAAAACCACATGTAAAGTGCTTTCATTATCATTTTAATTGTAGTGTGTTATTCTATATTTAATTTAAAGGTAATATATTTAAATGTACTAAATTGCAACTAAAGTTCAGCTAATTGCATTTAATCTTAAATTACAATACATCTTGATTGAATTTTTAATGAATATACAATTAATTGTCCAAAAACATTTAGTTTTAGTATATTCATTTAAAGTAGGCTACTCATTTTAAAAGTATGATAAAAGGTAAAAAAATTTCACAAGGGAAAAAAAACTTCAAACTTTGCCCAAACGCAGACTAATAATAAGGTGTGTGCTGTTAAATCAATAAGACAATGACAAACCCACCACCCTTGCGATCATTGTAATATGACCTTCGCAGCTGAGAGCTCACAATGCTTCATCAGTATTCTAGCGGAAAGGCGGTGTGAACTCTACAGCTCAAAAGGTCACCAGAAGAGATGTAACGATTCACTCAACTCACGATTCGATTCGATTCACGATTTTAATTTCACGATTATGAAGCGTTTCCTTGGTTTCCGCTGTAAACAAAGCAGCTCTGCACTTATGAACTTTCATATGCATTATATGCATTATACAAAGACAGTAAGTTCCCCTCAGACATACATTCATATAAACTCCTGCCCCTAATTGAATCGCGATTTGTTTAACATCTCAACCGATTTGAATCGTCATGTATTTGAATCGATTTTCAACCGGCTCGTGGTTAATCGTTACATCCCTAGTCACCAGAGAATGCCACATTATTACAAACAAACAAAAGCTATCTAATTTTACCTTGCTTTGATACAAGAAGGATTATTCCTGACCCATCAAGTAGTCTGTGTTAATTGGGACAGGTGTGATAGCAGACTGGTCCTCAAGTGGTGGTTCATGACCCAAAAACCAACTGAAGCTCAGTTCTGAGGAGGATTTTATACAGAGTTATATACAGCAGGGAAACTATATTAAATGCTATTAAAAATTATTTATTGAAAATTACATAAACATGTTTATGATAGCAAAATAAATCGACTTTTGAAAATGGAGGAGAAAAAGCTTATCATTTATTGAGATTTTTAGAAAAAATTTTATGATTTTGGTAGTGTTGGGTTGCTACTTGATGTCCAAAGTAAAATCTAGGTCCGAAAGCAAAAACCATAACTAATGAATTAGCAGGCAGAGCATAAATAGCAATATCATTTTTCAAACAGTTATAATCATTTCAATTTGTGCCGCTTGCTTGGTTTTCACTCACTCAGTGGAAGACACTGTGACACTTTGGACGGGTATCAGATGCACAAAGACATTACAAGCCCAAATGACACTTGGACAGAATTCAACCTCAGAAACGTTAGACCAAACTCAGCATTACATTTCTTCATTGCAGCTCCATGTGCTTACAATTTACCAACAATTATCAGGTGCATTAGCGTCACTGAATAAACTTGGCACGCAGTTGCCACACTGCCAGATGTCCAGGCTCAGTTACCTGGCTCTTACACTCAATTTAAATCAAACAACAGAGCTAATTTGTCACAATCAAGAGATGGAATCAAACTGCTAGTCAGCTGTAAATTTAGTGTGTAGTGACTGCAGTAGGCATGAGGCTTCTGTGCCAAAAGGGAAATGAGAATGCATCTCAATCAGTTACGAGAACCAATGAAGTCATACTTGGATTAATGTATTGTAAAGAGCCAAGTGTGAATACACGCATGTGAGAATGTGATTTGAAGTCAGAAGTTCCGAGTTCTCAGTACAAACTTTTGACTGGAATGCCTACTCAAGTCGAGTTCCGACTCAGAAACCTGCAGGAACAACAACAATTAATATATAAGCAACAAGTAATATATTGTTATTAGCACTTCTGTTTGTCTGTATCTCACTAAACTCAGTGGTGCACACAGTACTATCCAACCTGTGGATGTGATACTGCTTTTATATCTGTTTTTATCGACTGATATTGCTAACATTGAACTCGTCCGTCTTGGTTTTCTGGAACACGGTCAACTCAGATGTGACGTCATTCCCATTTCCGACATCATACTTCTGAGGTAAATGGAACTCAGCATACATTTTACAACTTGAACTTCATTATGATATCAGGACAGTTGTATCATCCAAAATTTTTACTTTATGCTCTAAAAAAAAACTAAATTAATTTTCATCATTGAAGAGGTGTATTCTAATCACTGCATTTTTTTAGTTTTAGTTTTAAATCAATTGACAAATAATGAGCATATGTCATTGACCTAACTATTTTAATCAATCTGTTCCTTCTACAAAGCTACCATATGAAGTAGGAACACTTGGAATAACACGCACAAATTGTATGAACTATATTTATGATATTTTTATAGAACTTGTTAGCCCCGGGTCACTGTCTACTTTAGTTCTACAGAATGGGCTTTTCCCACAGCCGTATGGGTTTGTTACAATATAAGTGTGAATACATGATGATGGATTTTCATTTTTGGGTGAACTATTCCCTTAAATATCCAGAGTGCATCTTTACTGACTGAAAAACTTTTTTCTTCCTTTTTCATCCTTTTAACCTTTAGGTCTGAAAACAACATAAGCCTGCTTAAATAATTCACCCAGACGGTTGTCATCTATTTACTCACCCCCGCACATTTTTCCAAACCAGTATGAACTTAATTTCTGTTGAACAGGAAAAATAAGTTATTTTGAAGAATGTTGGTAACCAAACAATTGCTGGTAGCCATTGATTTCCATTGTATTTTTTTTTCACTGTTATGGAAGTCAGCGGCTACCAGCAACTGTTTGCTTACCAATATTCTTTAAAATATCTGTTCAACAGACGAAAGAAAGAAACTCACACAGGTTTGGAACAACTTGAGGATTAGTACATTTTTGGGTGAACTGTCCCTTTAACCAAACATTTTTAGAAGATTATGCCAAATATAGAATTTCTGATGCATACCGTCATAGGCAAAACTCCAATTACAGCTCAAAATATATCAGAGTGCACATTCCATTATGATGTGGCTGCTCTGATCAAAAAGACAGTTTGGTTGGATGCCGGAGGAGTGTGTGCTGGTGATTATAGGGTAGTGTTTCCGTGACAGAGCCACATGGTATAAACATTCTGCTGCTGAAGACGCTTGTATACTGTTCTGAGATGAGCTTCCTCTACCAAATCAACGGCTTTATTCGTGATAGAAGAGTCTGCAGCTGATGTTTTGAGCCCAATTCATCTCAGCACACTCTGGGAATCCAGCTGGTCATTGGATGCTCTTTGAGATCCTGAGATCCATAACAAACACTATGAGGCAGCGACAACAAAGAAGTGCGCACACACACACACACACAGCCTGGAGATGGGGGGTGGTTAAGACTCTTGAAGACACAATAAAGAGGCATGAAGACTCTTCGTGAGCAATATGCCTATTAAATCATTAATAGGTTTGTCCTATTAACTTAAGGCCCCTGCTATTAAAGAACATATGGGTGGAGATTATACTGCTCAGCATCGTTAATTAGCTATCATTAAAACAAACCGAGGAAAATTTCATTAACATTATATTTGTATGTAATATTGAGGCAGCTGGGAGAGGACCAGAACATTTTAATCTGAGACATTTTAAACTGAGCTCTCAGTGCTCTTTCTGTATATCTACAGAATGTGGGAGTACATTGTCATTTGTCAGCAATGGAAAGGTTCTTCATCCAATTTAGTAAATGACAAATATGACTGACCAAATGTTTCCAAACAGGTTTCCCAAACACTCCCTTTGGCCATTGGCTAGGCAAACAGTTAGTCCCGCCCAAATCTCACACCATCGTTTGAGCTAATGTTGCTATAATGTGCTGATCTGGCTGCTCAAAGAAACAGAGCATTTAAAAAATAAAAAATACACACTTCTAAGGGATAGTTCACTCAAAAATGAAAACTGTCATCATTTACTCACCCTCATGTTGTTCATTCTTCAAAACATCTTCTTCTGTGTTCAACAGAAAAAACAAACCCATACAAATTTGGAACAACATAAGTGCGAGTATGATGACAGAATTTTCATTTTTGGGTGAACTATCACTTTCAGTTTGTATTAGTATTCATTTCGAAAAGTATATCTTCCAAAACAAGCATCCTTTTGGAAATATTATGCTGTAGGGGTGTTTGTGCTATCTTTCTTTAAAATAATTACCACTTGGTATTTCCAATGAAATAAAAATCATACATTTTTAACTGTTGCTTAAGTGTCCAAATATTTTGGGGCCACTGTGTCAATGGTGTACCATATTCTTACAGTAACAGAGAAAATGAAGAGACACGTAAGAAAAATAAGAGCTTGGTATTGTTTTGTATCTATAGTAAATACAATGGCAGAGAAAGAGAGATTCGTGGGGAAATTATTATGCATATTCATGTTGTAAGAATTATGCTACTACACTATCCTCTTGAGCCTGACGCGCACTGTTTCATAATATTGTGACATGCGTCTAACAGTTAGTTATACACGTCTTCTTACCAATGCTGATGGTTTCTGGATAATATATACAAACTAAAATATAATCTACATTCGACAAAAAATAAATGTAAGTAACACAAACGTCTGTTACGCTCAACTTTGACAGTTTCAACCTCACATTTCACAGCCTTTACACTGAACTAGATATCAAACGCATCGCGGAAATATTAAGAAAAGTTATCCACTCACTGCGGCTGAAATGAAGACAACTATTGGGCAATTACTAATTGTCATTAGACAATATTATCTTCAGAAAACAAATCCTTCTATAAGACATAATCTTCCAGGGCAAGTACATGTCGTTCTCTCTTCGCGCGCAGAACGCCAAATGACTATAAGGAGCCGAAGCGCGCCAAGCGCGCCCTGAAACCACACCTCCACCCTCTCCAAACTCTCTCTAAAACAGACTACTGAGTTGTTGTTTACATTCCTGATGAAGTTATTCACTTATTATCCAGCTTTAGAGCAGTTCACGTGAGTAATGTCACTTCGCGCACTGTTTCCTTTTGTCCCAGCGATGTTTGTATGTTTTTTATTCGGATCTTTTCAATGAATCTAATGAACCGGTTCAAGAAATCACACTTTTTCATCGGACTTTACATTTCCGACTTTAATTGCACAAAAGTAGTGGAAATATATTTATAGGTGACAAAGATGCAAAAACCAAGAGATGTTTATTAGGCAAGAGACTGAACCGTTTACAAACTTGACTGAACTGAAAAAAAGTAATCTAAATTAACTGCATTTATTGAAGTAAAAAAATGTATGTTTTTTTAATATTGCTGAATCAACCTAAATATATTAATCTATACCTCAAAAACGTCTCAGGTTACGTATGTAACCCTAGTTCCTCGAGGGAACGAGACGCTGCGTCGGAAACGCTAGGGGAATGCCCTTCAGCTTGACGGGCTCTGAACCTCGTGTGTAATCAGACCAATAGATGGGCGAGACGTCACGGCGGGTGACGTAATGACCAGGAAGCTATAAAAGCACGTGCGGTGAGACCAGCGTCAGCTTCTAGGAATGAAGCAAGCGCTGGCAGGGATGCCGGAAGTATGGCACCGCGACGCAGTGTCTCGTTCCCTCGAGGAACTAGGGTTACATACGTAACCTGAGACGTTCCTCTTCAGGAACTCGAGCTGCGTCGGAAATGCTAGGGGAACGCGACTGCCCACGCCGCCAGACTTCTAAGTCTCTGCCTAGTGTGGAAGACTGCACAGCTAGGGTGAAAGAACAGAAGAGCCAGGAGTGGCTCACATGTCTAGGTCATAGAACCTGACGAAGGTCAGGAGCGTGGACCATCCCGCGGCGTCGCAGATGTCCTGCATGGCGACACCT